CATGGAGAAGCTTGGTATTTTGTGTAGAACTGTCTTAAACTGGGGCCTGTGTGGAGCTGTTTCCAACCCAGATCTTCCCAGGAGGAGCAGCCGGGGCACCTAGGGCTCACCCAGGGGCAAGAGTCTCGGGCATCTCTTCTGGCCTCTGTGCTCGCCTGGCTGCAAGGGGCCAGGGGCCGGCTCTGGCCCGCTCACTAAGGTGCTCTGCGCCCTGTGTTTGGCCTCAATACCAGCCCCCCGCGGGCCTGCCTTCCCAGGCCGTGGGTTTCAGGGGCAGAGGGCTGGCTAGGGAAGGGGTGTTACTGCCAGTTCTGTCCAGCTTGGCCCCTTTGTAGCTGAAATGTTTGCACCCCTTCGGCGAAGGTGCCTTTGTGCAGACAGCAGTAACGGGCTTGTGTGTGCCGTGCTGAGTGGGCTGGGTCTCACTCTGCGCTGGCTCACCTTTTCCTCCCGCTGTTTCAGATACAGCCAGGCCGACGCCCTGAAGTACGTGGGCATCGAAAGAGAAATGGAGATCCCTTGACGCGTGCTACCTCCTCCCCTCTCCTCTCGGAACAGCGGCCTTAGCTTCAGGAACCTCGAGTACTGTGGGCGATTTAGAAAAAGAAAATGCAGTTTGAAATTCTGAATTTGCAAAGTACTGTAAGAATAATTTATAGTAATGAGTTTAAAAAAATCAACTTTTTATTGCCTTCTCACCAGCTGCAAAGTGTTTTTGTACCAGTGAATTTTTGCAATAATGCAGTGTGGTACATTTTTCAACTTTGAATAAAGAATACTTGAACTTCTCCTTGTCGTAGTCATCTGTTACACCCTCTCCAACTGGTTTTAGAAAAGGACTGAGTGATGGGAAAAACATTTCACCCCTTTGGTTTGTCAGAAGCCATCCTGGGAATCTGGGTATAACACGTATTGCCTGTATTAGGCAAATTAATAAATACTATTGCAAACATGTTACATATACCATACATACCGGCTAAGGAGACAAGGACACAGTAAGCGATCACTGCTCGCATCCGAGACCAGGGTGGGTGGGGCGTGTCCCCGGTGCTAAGAGGCCTGCAGGTTCCCGCCCTCTGAACCTCATTCTCCAAAATGACAGGAGATTCCTGTGAACGATCTAGCGCTAAATCCCACTAGATACAGCCTTTCAGAAATGTGACGGGGACAACCAGACTACTTCTAGATCTTGATGGAATAAGACACCCTTAATGTCCCGGGAAGCTGCTCCTCAGGCTGGGCGGTGGTAGGAGCGCCCAGGACGGCAGCATTCACTTAAGTTTTCATTGATTTATAGCATGAATGGGATGCTCAGAACACCTTCCTTTCCAGTTATGCAAACATGCACAAGGCTGGTTTCTGCCCCCTCCATGCACAAGACAGTAAGCTGAGTCCTGGGATACAGTTCATTCACCTTGGCCTGACAGTGAAAAAGACACGTGTGTCTCCTGTGTCCCTCAGCTTCCCTGCAACCTGCTGAGACACCTGGTCTCCGCACTCCACCCAGGAGGCGTCGCTGACCAATTCGGGGAGAGTCACCCCCCCCACTGCCACATCCCACCCCTTGGCATGCGGCCCCCATGAAGCCTGTTTGTTCCCCGTCATGTGACCAGAGACCCAACTGCAGCAGACAGCAGCTGTCCCTGATGGAGGGCAGGGCTTGGGAGCACCGCGGGCTTTCATTCCTTGACTAGCAGCGTACCTCCAGGAACTGGTCCACTGACCTCATGGATGCAGAGATCCTGACCAGAAATCCTGGGCTGCAGCCATGGCCACATCCCACGTGATCGAGAGCATCCTTCGCTTGTCAGCTTGACATTTTCTTTTACCTGGAATGGGGGGGAGACAGAAGAGAGCTTGACACAAGGTGTTCAGTTCACACAGAACACCAAGTTTAAATATGTGCTCTTTTCTCTTCCCCTTGCTCTCCCACCGAGGTAATAACTGACAGTGTGAGCCTGGCGGGTTTAGTTCCCCAACAGAACCAAGGATGAGTGGAATGAGTTACCACATCAGGATATGGATGCAGTCACGGTTGCCATGGTTTAGGAAGGTCAGACCTTGTCCACTGAAAAGAGCCCGACAACAGGCTGCCCAGCTGGTCAGCGTCTGTGGTCCCTAAGCCTTTCCCCAGTGGTCATGAAGACCCACACGTCTGACCACAGTCCTGACGTCCAAGTACAGGCAGCACCTCAGACTCCGACTAACTGCCGCAGGCTAACTTGAAGATGCATGACAAAAGTTTCAACATTTTGCAGTTTATAAAAAAAAGTATTCCTCTACCTAGAAACTGCTTCCTAACTATCTCTCAGTACTGTCTGGGTCACTCAACCTCCAGACTTCAGTGTCCAGTCAATGACTCCAACTCTGGATTCCCACCTCTGCCCAAGGTGTTCAACTACCCCACCACTGCCAAAAATCAACGCACAAATTGTGTCATTTGGATTTGTAGGTTGCAGGTAGGATCTTCCGGACCCAGGGATTGAACCCAGGTCTCCTGCATTGCAGGCAGATTCTTAACCATCTGAGCCACCAGGGAGGCCCACTTTTAGATTTGTAGGTAGGTCGTCAAGAAAGGTTTCAAACGTGGACATTTTGCGAGAATCTAAGTATTCCATTAAGAGGGCTTCCCTGGTGGTTCAGCTGGTAAAGAACCCGCTTTCAATGCAGGAGACCCTGGTATGATTCCTGGGTTGGAAATGTTCCCCTGGTGGAGGGCATGGCAACCCACTCCAGTATTGCCTGGAGAATCTCTATGGACAGAGGAGCCTGGTGGGCTACAGTCCATGGGATTGCAGAGTCAGACATGACTAAGTGTGCACATGCACACACACACACTCTCCGTTGGAAATTGCATGGGCTTTGGGCTCTTACCAGAATAAGCTCAAATCAACACTTGTGTCTCCATCCTCTGTTACAAATGATCCAGGGAGGGGTGTGTGTAGTACCTGGTATGAGAAGTGGTCCAACATCTAAGTCACACAGCTTTTTGTATGTGAACCAAAGCTCCATAAAGAAGTTTTAGAAAACTGTCCTCATCTATCTTGACCAAGTCATCATTCTGCCTCTAGAGAGATAGGTTCATGTGTATAGAATCAAATCACCCAGACAAGTTGTTGCCATTCCTAAAAAACAAAACAAAACAAAAGTCTTCATTTTATTTAAGATTTACATAAGGGGGATTTTCTTCAAATGAGTCAGCACATTTGATTTTTTTAGCTGGGTGTGGCAAAATCTTGTATTTCTTTTCAAAGGAAGATTAAGATACCTCGATGAATAGGTAGGCCATCTTAAAATACTCAGTAAAAATATTTTAAATTCAGGTGCCTCTCGACCCTTTATCTCCTGCTGTGGTGTCCCTGGCTGCCTCTTACAAAGGCGCTGACCAGTGACGGCTGGCAGTTTGCCTCTAGGCAGGCTTGAGGTTTGACCCATGAGAACCCAGCCTGGGAGAGAGGGGGTGGGCTGGCCCTGGGCTCTACCTTACCTGCCCCCTCCTAGGAGAGGAGATGGCTCCGTCAGGAGGCAGCACCATAGCGACTGTCCGGAACACAGTTTTCTTTCAGTGGACCGATCCCTGTGGGTTATGCCAAGGCTGCCACCCACCACCCTCCCCCAGGGTGTGAACTTCCCAGAGGGCCTGGGCACTAGGTGGCCTTCAGAGGCTGGACGTCGGTCCCTAGGCAGATTCAGAAAGCTACTATTTAAGTTCGGAAAAATGCAGCTCACTGGATGCCGGGGAACTCGACCCTCGTGGCTTGTATTTGGAGGCCCGGCCGTTCTTGTTAAGCTAGGATGTGGTTTGTGGAATGAAGGCACAAAGTCTGGAGCTGTATTCCACACCCATCAAACAGGACTCACCCAGTGTGAGGGGGTCAGGGTCGGGGGCACGTAGAGGGCACCTCCCACCACCCACCTCCAGTCCGCCTTTGCTCACGGACGTCCTCGGTCTTCTCACCGAGGACACTCTTCGTCCTGGAGGAACTCGAGAGACGTCAGGAAGTCTCATGAAGAGGTGCCTTCCCTCTTGAAGGGGAGGGTGGGATGAATTGAGAGAGCAGCATCAGCATAGATACCCCACCGTGTGTGGGACAGCTGGCGGGAAGCTGCTGGGCAACACTGGGAGCCCCTCTGTGGCCTCTGTGGTGGCCCAGAGGTCCTCCCTGGAGGGGTCGGACGGGGGAGGGCTGGGGGGGGGGGGCGCAAGAGGGAGGGGGTCTATATCTGATTCACTTTGTTGTGCAGCAGAAACGAACACAATATTGTAAAGCAATTATCCTTGAGTTAAAAAAAAAAAAAAGACCATGAAGCTCTTTATTATGTGATCTGGCAACCCCACTCCTGGGCATGTATCTGCAGAAAACCATAATCTGAAAATGTACCTGAATTCCAATGTTCACTGAAGCACTATTTAACAGTAGCTGGGACCGACATGAAGGCAACCTAAATGTCCATCAGTAAATGGATAAAGAAATTGTGGTACCTAGACACAATGGAATATTATTCAGCCACATAAAAAAGAACAAAATAATGCCATTTGCAGCAACATGGACAGATTTAAAGATTGTCATGCTAAGTGAAGCCAGAAAAAGACACACTATATCATATAGAATCATTCACATGTGGAAATCTTAAAAAAAAGGTACAAATGAACATATCTACAAAACAAAGAGTTAGAGATGTAGAAAACAAACTTAGGGTGAGGATGGGGTGAGGCAGGGGAGGGATGAATTGGGAGACTGGGACATAGGCACACTGCCATCTATAACACGGATAACTAACAAGGGTCTCCTGTACAGCACAGGGAACTCAATACCCTGTCATCACCTGTATGGGGAAGAATCTAGAGTGGAAACAGGTGTAACTGAACCACTGTGCTGTATACCGAAGCTAAAACAACATTGTAAATCAACTGCACTCCAATAATTTTTTTAAAAAAGCAATTTACCTTCCTACTCTTGCTGGGACTCAGACCCAAGCACAGCAAGTGGCTGCGGGGATTAACAGCGCGTCTGTCCCAGAGGCAGGTGGACTGTTGCCAGGAGAGGCAGAGCTGTGGTCTCAGCTCCCAGCCGGAGATTCGCAGGGCAGTTTCTAGGTGGTCCTTGGAGCCCCAGGACACTACAGGCTCTGGGGGTGGTGGGGGTTCCCCGGGGGTGGGGAGTGGGGGGTGGCACTGTTTTTTGCCTGGTGTGTACACTGGAGCTCTTTTTATGACTGTTAGAAAAAAGAAGATATACTAAAACAAACATGGAAACCGTTAGACAACTGCTTAAGTCTATTACTCAATAACCCGTTTAACTGTTAAATTGTAAAAAACTAACCTGTTAGGTGCCAGGTTGGTCCAAAAAACTGGAAGGAAGTAGTAGCTTGGGTGTCTTCCTCTGGCCCTGCTTTCAGAAGCAGGCCTCAGGGCAGGTAGAGATGGCACAGGTGTTGACAAGCATGTCCACGCCTCTGGTCTGGAGAGCCACACGTGGTTTATACGGACCAGGAAGCCCAAAAGACTAAACCTGCCCGGGGCCTCTGCTCCCACCTCCCGTTCCATCTGTCTTCAGGCTGAGAAGTGACCGCACAGGGCTGCAAGCCAACCACCCGGACCACAGATGAGGAGTCAAAATGTGCCGGAGGCGAAAGGGAGGTGCTGGCGGTGGACGTGGCCCCTGAGCCCGACTCAGGACGAACGCCCGTGACCAGCGGTCGCCCTTCCAGGGAGGCGGCCGGCTCAGCCCGGCCAGCACCACGAGGTCCGCAGGGAGGCTCCTGGGCGTCGGTCGCTGGAGGCGGTCACGGGAATGACGGCCAATGCTCCAGGAGGAGAAGGCGAGCAAGGGCTTGGTCGGCCAAAGCTTAACTGCTGTTCCCTCTCGGGAGGGCGGCCCTCGGGGCCTCAGGAAGACACCAGGGAAGGCCTGTTTGCACAATCATTATATCTTTTATTTACAGATAGAAATTAGTAAAACTTAAAACAAAAACCCAATGCGACTTGTACAGAAATCCTTTAATTTTCTTTATTTTCACACATTAAAAAATGAAACACACTATACAAATGGTTTTCTCATAGCAGATTACACGTGGGTCCCTTCAGACCCGCTCTCCAGGACTGCCGGCCTCCGAGGGGCCCCGGCCGGCAGCTGGGGCTCGCGTGGCCAATGGTTGATTCGGATGCAGACGCATGCAGCCCTCGGCGCGGGAGGTCCCCCACTCCGGTCTTAAATTAGGTTAAATGGCGTCGGTGTCCGTATGTACAGACGTGAAGTGTGGCGGTCCTGAGCAGCTCCGGGGCCCGTGCGCGGGGGCCTGGGCCTGGGGCCGGGCGGGCGTCCGGGGGCGCGGCCGCCATGCTCGGGGCTGCCGGGCCTGCAGCCGAGGGGCCGCGCCCGCGCTCAGACCCCCGGGTCAGGCCAGGTAGCTGTACGTGTCCTTCTCCCCGTCCACTCGCTCCAGATACTCCTTCTCGATCAGAATGTCGATGCATTTCTGGGCGTGGGTTCCGAGGAGGGAGAGGCCGTGAAGGGGAAGAAAAACACACTTACCGTCGGAACAGAGACGGATTCTCCCACCCCTCCCGGGGGTGGCGCCCCGGCGGGGCTGGCCCCGCAGGGGGCGCCATCTGACTTCCCGCAGCGCCCCCCTCGCTCTGGGGCGCCTCACCCCAGGGTTTCCCACCGCGCCCCCTCAACCTGCCAGTCTCGGGTCTCAGAAGGGGAAGGAGCCGCCCGGTTTCTGTGTGAAACGACCCTGGGGGTCGTCGTCCAGGGGCTGCAGGCCCCCCCGGGGGCCCCGAGAGGAGCCATGTCCGCAGGGACGAGCCTCCCGCCGGGCTAAGCACACGTAGGAGGCTCCTGGGCGGGCGCCGAAAACTCCCGGCCACTGTTCACTCTGAGCAGCTCAGCAAGCGGAGTGCTGAGGATTTTCCACGTCTCAAAATGACCGTTTCAGAATTTGGCCTGTTTTCTTTTGTGGAAACCTATTTTACGTGGGCTTCCCTGGTGGCTCAGAGATTTAAAGCGTCTGCCCCCAATGCAGGAGGCCGGGTTCGATCCCTGGGTCGGGAAGATCCCCTCGAGAAGGAAATAGTAACCCACTCCAGTATTCTTGCCTGGAGAATCCCATGGATGGAGGAGCCTGGTGGGCTACAGTCCACAGGTCGCAAAGCGTCGGACATGACTGAGCGACTTCACTCTCACTTTTCATTTTACGTGACTAAGCCAAACTCCTCCGTGACAGTCACCGCCTCTTTTGTCTCCTGAGATAATAATCATCTGAATCCTGCTGCTGGGGGATCCTGTACCTTAATTACTGGGACCCGGGGCTTGAATCTTGAGGACAGCTGAGTCAGGACTTCTCCCAGTAACTGCTGGTGTTTGAGGACCTTCCTCATTTTCATAATTCTCACAATAGCCGCCTGTGTGACCAAGGAAAGAAAGAACTTGTTTTCCACAGCGTTAACCAGAACTTGTCTGTAATGAGGAGGAGCAACAAGCCTGCAGGGGCGCTCTGTGTGGAAGACCGGGTTCCGAACAGGGAACAAACACTGCAGGTCCGAGGACGCAGGGGGCCAATTCTATCTGCTGGTTTCGGCGCCAACGCAACAAACATTAAAGTGTTTTGGTCTCGTGAGCAGCAATTTTAGTGATTTAACCCAACTAGAACACACTTTTAAAATGAGGAAAAACTCAGTCCTTAAAGCCACAGACGGCACCTTAGCCCCCCACCGGACAACCCCCCCCCCCCCCCCCCAGTTTCGTGAATGCACTGCTCTCATCTGTTTCATCGGTCATCTCACCTACTCCACCCAGAACCATCCATCATCCAGGCCACCTCTCCCAAGTCCCAGCAGCACACAGCCCAAGGGAAGCGCCCCCCAGCTGTGGGTGGCCTGCCTGCCACGCAAGGGGCTGGGCCCCCAGGGTCACCTGGATCAGTAGTTTGCGATCTTCCTCGATGTTTTTGTGTGTGGTTTCCTGTTCCTGCTTCTGTTCTGTTTTCATTGGCACATTGATGTTAACCCTTAATTTTTTGCTGTCAAGAAAATCGAGGAGACCAATCACTATTGCTTTCAAAGACATGCAGTAAAGTCTGCTTTCTGTTTTCGGTCATAAAGAGGTGCTCTGTCCCCCCAGACAGAGGATGGGGAGCATGCCCGATGACCTCCCACCTCCCCAGGCCTTTTCCACGTCATCTCTGTGAAAGGCCCCCTAGTTCCTGACGGAGCGGGGTCCTACTCTGCCAGCAACGGGACGGCTGTGTCCCAGGATATTCAGCTCCTTAACCTGCTCTCCCCAAACTCTGTCAAGTGAAGTAACATCAAGACACGGGGGCATAGAGGGCTTCTGAGGTGAGCCCTTTACCAAACGAAGAAAACCCCGAAAACTGAGTCAACTGGACAAGCACCCGGGATGGCCAGAGGAGGTCAAAGGCCCCCGCAGAGGCCTGAACTGAGCTCACAGCCCCGTGTGTGGGGACACCCGGGTGTGCGCTTGGGGTCAGGGGCTAAGTCTGTGGCCTAGGACCACCTACTTGGCAGATTTTCCTTACTTTTTATAACCAAGATATAATTTTATTAAGGTATCTGGCTTCAATTCCACCTCATCAACATTTGCATTTTCATCTTCCAAGACCTGTAAGAAAACAACTGTTAGTACATCATCTCAGGAAACGGCTTTCTTCCAGCCTAACATACAAAGGACACAGACGTACCAGTAACTTGGACTTCAATAAAATCTGAAGGACTTGTGCCAGGATGTCCTGCATTAAAGAGAAAGAGAGAAAACTAATTTTTTTCTTTGTAGTAAGAACCACAGCCAATCCCAGAGTCCAATTTTGGGGAAAAATTAGTGACCTAAGTAGAATATGTCCAGAGGAAAAAGAGGGCAGCGCCCCTTGGCGGCTCCCCAAACCTACTCCAAAAAGTGCCTGCAACCCCATTCTGCTCTTGATCACCCAGTATCCAAATTGACAGCTCTACTAACAAAGACTAGAATGCATGTAAGACCGACTTCCTGGACTACATCTTCATAGGGCGTCCTGGACCCTGAGCACTGAAAAGAATGGGCAGGAGCTTCACCGGCCTGGATGCGCCTTCTGTTCACGAACACGACAGGGGTGGCGCCGAGACCCTGCTGCTGACTTGGCTTTGGTGAACCTACGCCCCCGGGCCGCCTCTGCGTGCAGACAGCGGGCGGCCTGTCCTGTCTCAGCTCTCCTTTAGCGCCCTGGCTTCGAGACCCCACGCAGTGGGACAGCCACCGGGATGCTCATGCGCCCCCCTGCCCTTAGGGGAAGGCCACCCAGGCCTAGGCGAGCTGGAGAGGCCTCCGGTGTGCTGACCGGCGCGCTGACCGGCGCACAGCCCAGAGCCGGATGAGGACGTGGCCACGCCCGGGGCACGGCCGCAGAGGTTGTCTTCACAAGCCAGAGAGACTGAGCAGCCAACAGCCCTCGTGGAGGAGAGGGAAGTGGGGAGCAGTGGCCCCCCCCCACCCTGGGGGGAGTCAGTGCCCCAAGAAGAGCTGGCTGAAGCTGGCGTGGAGGCTGAACAGTGGAGTGAGGGGCCACTCAGCTCTGAAAAGGGGGTTCCCCAGAGCAGAGCCCTCCCCGCGGTCTGGGGGCAACCTGAGCCTCCACTGTAACTTTAGTCTCCTCCTTCTGGTGAGGAATGAAGAAGGAAAAAAAGAGACTCTGAACATGCACAGAAGCAAATTCTTGTGTTATTAGAACTTGAAAATGTATTCTGGGCTAACTTGAAGCATGACGCAAAAATAAATGACTTTCCTAATTCACGTTCCATGAGGCCAATATTACCCTAACACCGAAACCAGACAAAGCTATCACAGGAAAATGGCAGACCAAGTTCCCTATGAATAAAGATGCAAAGATCTTCGAGAAAATTCCAGCAAACCAAACCCAGCAGCATATAAACAGTATTATATACCATGACCAAGTGGTACTTATCCCAAGAATGCAACGGTGGTTCAACATTTAAAAAAACCAATCAACATAACACACATTAATAGACAAAAGCACTTAGTCATTGCAATAGAGTAGCAAGAACATTTAAACAAAGTCCAACACTTTCACGATGAAAACACTAAAAAACAAAACGCTGTAGAAATAGAAGGGAATGTCTTCAGTCTAGTAAACAGCATCTAAGAAGAACTCAGTGACACACTCAAGCTTTCCCTCAAGGTCAGGAACGAGACAAGGACGCCCGTTCTCACCACTTCCACTCAGCACTACAGGAAGTTCTATCCACAGCAACCAAGCAACACAAATAAAGACACCCAAGGAGAAAAAGTAAGTACCAAAACTGTTTGTAGATGACATGACTGCATATTTAAAAAGTCCTAAAGAATCCACATAAAGAGTACCAGAATAAATGCATTCAGCAAGATTGCAGGACACAAGATCCAACAGGCGACTCTACGTCTGTACACCAGCAATGAATTTACAATTTCGTTAACAACAGCATCAAACTTAATAAAATATGTAGAGGAGTAAATTACCCAAAGCATCAAACTTAATACTTAGGAGTAAATTTAACCAAACAGGTGTAAAAAGGCTTGCATAATGAAAACTACAAAACACAGTTAAAAGAAATTACAGACAATCTGAATAAACAGAAAGACATCCACGTTCACAGAGTAGACTTGATATTGTTAGGGTGGCAATTCTCCCAAAGCAACCTACAGATTTAATACAATCCCCATCACAATTCAACTGCCTATTTTGCAGAAACAGACAAGCTAATTCTGAAATTTATATGGAAGTACGAGGGACCCAGAACAGCTAACGCAAGCTTGATAAAGAACAAAGTTGGACGTCTCAATTCCAAAACTTACTACTGGCCTACGAAAAGTGGAAAAGAATTGAGGATCTAGAAATACATCCAGAACCAACTGATTTTTGACAAGGTTGCCTGCCAGTACCAACCAATAGGGGAAAAACATGTATAAAAATATCCAATCACTATGAGGTATACCTGAAACTAATGTATTAATTTATACTTCAATTATACTTCAATAAAAAGTCAACTGTACTTCAAGAAAAAACAGGGGAAGAACCATCTTTGACCTTGGATTGGGCAATGATTACTTAGACGTTGACACCAAAAGCATAAGCAACAGAAGAAAAATAATGTGGGCTTCATCAAAATTAAAACCATGTGCGTGATAAAGAAAATGAAAACCCACAGAATAGAGGGAGTATCTGTAAATCATTTATCTGAAAAGGGTCTACTACATAGAATATATGAAGAATTCTTACAACTCAACAAAACGACAAATAACCCAATTAAAAGTGGGCATAAACATCATTAGGGACATGCAGATAACCACAATGAGGCACCACTTCATATCCACCAAACGGATGCGTACCCTGCTGGCAAGGATGCAGAGAAAGTGGAACTCTCCCACTGCTGCTGAGGACACCAGCTGCGGGAGCCACTATGGGACAGCCTAGCAGTGCCTCCAAAAGATCAGTCTAAGTTACCACGACTGTAATTCCGCAGCTAGGTTTATACCCAGGAGAACTGAAAGTATGTCCATCCAAAGACCTACACAAATGTTCAAAGTAGTGTTACTCATAATAACCAAAAAGTGGGAACAACCCAAATGTCCATCAACTGATAAATGCATAGACACGATGTGGGTCCATCCATATACTGGAATATAGTTTTTCCATCACAAAAAGAGGACAAAGGTAGAGAGTAGCTATTGCTGATAGGTACTGGTTTCTTTTTACGTTGATGGAAATGTTTTGGATTTGGATGATGATGGTGGTTGTACAACCCTGTGAAAAACCACTGAGTAGTATAAAATGGTGAATTCTATGTTATGTGAAATGTAACTCAATAGCAGGAAGGATAACATTTGGTGAAAACTGAAGTTTAGTAAGGGACAGCTTAGCTGGAAAGAGGGCTGAGAACAAGCTAAATGAATGAGAGAAAAGTGTGCCATGTGGATGTGTGTGTGGCGGGGGGGACATGTTACACTGAGTTTAAAGCTTTTAACACGTCAAGTGTTGAGCCCCGGAAGAAGAGCATATTCAGTGTCCTGGAGCCGCCCCCTCCCCAGGACACAGAGGCTGGAATACCATTTTGATCTGGGTGCTGTCCGTCAGCTGCTGCACGGCATAGGCGTCCTCTGTGTTGTACTGGAGCAGGATGGCCATCTGGAATGTGGATGCCTTCAGGGCCCCATGCGAAGGAAAGAGAGCAAAGAGCTAAATGCTGGGCAACTCCCAAAAGAACTTTCTTAAGAAACCAGTGCTCTGAATAGACGCAAAAAACAAAGCCGATCTATTAAGCGGGAATAACACACGTCTCACAATTCCACCACGATCCGCTTCTTCCTGAAAGACACCGCTCCCCACATTTACAGACACTTGAGGATTCTGCACTTTCTTCCACATGTTTTGTCTATGTAAATACAGCTGACCCTTGAATGATGCAAACTGAATACTTAAGATGGGTATCTTTTTATGTAAATAATCTCAATAAAGTTTACATAATGTCTACTGATCAAAGGGGGCGGGCACCTGAAATTTTAGGTAATGAAGTCTGAACTCAGAGATTCTTCTATGTATACTTGGGAATAAAGAAAACAATTTCAATTGCATAGGGGATCCTTGACATGGGTTTGAACTGTGTGGGTCCATTTATTTGTGGATTTCGGCCCCTCCCCCTCAACAGTAAATAGGACAGTGCTACAGATCTGCGGTTTGTTGAATCTGAAGATGTAAGGGAACCGCTGGATGTGAGGTGCTGACTCTTAAGTTTTGTGCAGATTTTTAACTGCCCGTGGGTCGGTGCCCCAAACTCCCACACTGCTCAAGGGTTGCTGCTGCTGCTGCTACGGCACTTCAGTCGTGTCCGACTCTGTATAGAAATCCACATTCAAACTGATAAAGACCTCTGGACCTGGTGTAACGGAGTATCAGACACTTCAGTTTATCAGAGTAGAATTACTGAAAGTTTAATGAGCGGGCTGAGTCTGCAAAATGCAGTCAGAAGTTTCTTAACACTTATAGATTTATAATTGCTTCTATAAGCTTATAAGCACACGAGTGAACCCTCTTCAAGATGGAATCTTTAAGGGGAAGATCTTCACTGAAACTTTGGCTCTTATCAGCCGGGAGCTAGAGGTCCCTTTCGTCAGGCTGATGTTTGGCTTCTCAGCAATAAAACGGAAGCCAAGTGACCGTTATCATCATGTGGTGCTCAGCACCGCAGTGAGTGCTGAGGTTGCTATTAATATGAAACTGCCCCGTCAAAGGAAAAGAGCTATCATCATAATTAACTAAATAAAACTCCAGCTTTTAAAGCTACTATCTGAACACTCAGTGTGCGTCAAGCATGACTCTCTGCGACCCCGTGGACTGCAGCCCACCAGGCTCCTCTGTCCCTGGGCTTTCCCAGGCAAGAACGGGAAGCCCGGAGTGGGCTGCCGTCTCCTGCTCCAGCCTACCTTCCTGACTCAGGTGCTGAACCTGCATCTCTTACACTGGCAGGCAGATTCTTTACCGCTGAGCCACCAGGGAAGCCTCAAACACGCGTTAAAGACCTTTAGTTTCATTTAGTCTTCACACCGCACACAAGGCCCAAGCATTGACACCCTCTCCCCTACTTTCGCGGAGGAGAAAAGGGAGGTTCAGCATTACTGAGTAACTTCTCTCTCAGCCACGAAGAGCTCACCTCCCCGACTCACAAAATCCACGTTGTTTAACCTCAGTAGTATTTTGCAGAGGCTTAACTCTAGATTCTGTTGCATGTTATTGATGGATTTCTATAATTCATCTTTATCTTCATTTTGTATTAAAAAAAAAAACCTCCAAAATAAAAAGTGATCTTACCTGCAAAGTGTATCTGTTTTTGAAGCAGTTTGTTACTAATTCTCCTTTTGACAGTTGATATAACCACGTCAATTTTCTGCCACTGTGACGGCTGGCGTAAAAGGCTGTGAATCGCTGGTAACTCCGTTCCAGCTGCGTACAAAGTGGGGAGAGCACTCGTCAAACACGTACCTCAACGCCTCCTACGGTGAACATCTCTAAACACAGACACTGGCCTGAGTTTACAGGACAAAATGCTGACATAAAAGTGAAATACAAATATCGAGTGTTTATTATCTTGCAGAAGTCCATTAATTTACACATGTTTGAAAGTATTAAAAAAAAAGTCTCTAGTTCAGGACAAGTAGGGACCACCATGATGTTCATCACAGAACTACAAGGTCCCCTTTCCGAGAGTAAACCCCCGCTGCTGAGTGGGACCAGGAGTGCCACCTCCTGACCCCACGCCGGCCAGTGCTCGCGGCTGCCTGGGCACGGCTCAGCTAGCAGGAAGGCCTGCAGGCACGCTGGCATGAAGATGCCCCTTCTCACCCCTGCCCAACACCAAGGGAACAGAAGAGGAACCCATCCTTACCTCTGACGGCAAGGCAAACGTACAAGACTGCTGAAAGGGCCATGATCCGGAACTCAGTACTTGAATACTGAAATCCACTGGGGGAGGGGGAAAGTTCAGGAATAATTAGCCTTATAAACTGGAAAATGCCAACAGAGCAGGTGAACTTGAATTGCTTTTTATTGAAAGAAAAACACACTAAATGAAAATCCCGCTTTAATATAAAACTAAGGATGAAACACATTAAATTTCAACTAAATTTAGTAAAGGGTAAGAGTCAGTTGCTCAGTTGTGTCTGACTTTGCAGCCCCATGGACTGCAGCCCACCAGGCTCCTCTGTCCATGAGATTCTCCAGGCAAGAACACTGGAGTGGTTGCCATTCCCTCCTCCAGGGGATCTTCCCAACCCAGGGGTCTCCTGCATTGCAGGCGGACTCTTTACTTTCTGAGCCACCTGGGAAGTAAAGGGGAAAAGAGCCACAAATTCTCTCCCTGCAAAGAGAGAGTCTTTCACTCCTCATCTAACTCAGAATTATAACATGGCGCGCCTGTTTGGCTTCATCTGCTCTGGTTTTCTGCCACCAATAACCTCAGTCCACTCAGGGCACACCTGAGTCCCTCAGGCTGCATGGCCTGAGAGCCCCAAACTCAAGACAATGAGAAGCCCGAGTCAGCCGACTTCATTACGCCTCGCGTGGCACTGCTGACTCTGTACGCAGCACGAAGAGTCTGTGCATCTAACACACGATCCATAAACTAGACCATCACGTCATCACCACAGACGGCTGACAGCAAATCTGCTGGCACCACAGTCAAGTTTTACAATGGAATACTACTTTTGATTTGGGCAAAGCACAGCCTAATTTTTCATTTAAAAACAGAGAATCACCACTGATGATGTCAGCAAAACTTGCCACCGCCTGCTGCAGTCAGACCCTCAAGGAGCCCAGCGGGCCTCTGTGTGTCCAGACGCCAGCCTGTCCCGACCCCCAACGGCAGGCAGGAGCCAGGTTGGACTGGTCATCTGCACACCCAAGGCAGTTTCTTATAATGGGAGAAACTGCTAGAATGGAATCAAACCAAGGTGAAAAAACGTTAACTGAAACTTAAACTTAAGTGGTGCCCCGACCTGGCGACCGGCCAGGGTGAGGTGGCCACGCCAGCCGTGGAAGGGTCAGGGCTCAGGGCCTGAACACAAGACCCCCGCCGGCTCAGCCCCTCGGGGGGAACGCCAACCCCCTTCCCCAGCGGTCACCTCCTGTCATCACACAGGAGGCAGGAGGCGGGCAGTGCGTGGGGGGAGGACTTCCTGTGTGCCTGGCCCTGAATTTCTGATAAAGCTGCTGTCTCTCGCATTTGCTACGAAGAGCGCCGCCTCCTCCCAGAGCCCTGCCTGGTCAAGGAAGCTCGGGAACCCGGGGATACTCACAGTCCAGCGGCTCGGAGTTCGTCAGGTGCTTTTTGAACTGCTCGTTCAAATCTTTGCTTACACCAATGTCTTGAAACATCCGCTGAAGTTTAGAGGTATACTCAAAACCACAAGCTTGCTGAAATGAACCCAGACAACTGCCTTATTAACTTCTCCAGAGACAGAGATGTATACAGGGGAGTCTGATGGGGAGCATACACATGGCAGACGCTGAACGGCAATACTAAAGCTGCAACAGGATCCCACGGTATAAATATGCACTGATAAAAATCCATACGCTATCAAAACCTATACAGCTGTAAACAGAACCGTTAGCAACTGTCACAGAACATAGTGGCTACAACTCGGGCAGGAAGAGCAAGGATTTCTGACAGTGCAGGAGAACGCCAAGATGACATGGCTTGTCTGTGCTCTCACCCGCTGCCGCGGACTGACCTGCCCACCCCTCCACCCCCATCCTATGCTGAAGTCCTAGGCTGATGGTACTCAGAGGTGGGGCCGCGGGGAGATAAGGAAGTTTAGGAAAGGTCCTGAGGGTGGACCTCTTTGCGGGAATTAGTGCAGCTTGGTCCTGAGAAGAGACCGAAGAGTTGGCTGGGTGCGGACGCGGCTGGGCATCCTCAGGGAAGTTGTGGGGAGAGCCCGCACTGGACCCTGAGCTGCCTGGACCTCAACCTGGGCTTCCCGACAGCCTCTGAGAACTGAGAACACTTCTCTCCTGTTTGAGCCACTCAGTTACGGTATTCTGTCACAGCAGCCCGCACCGAGGAACACTCACGTTAACTCATTTCCGGTCACAGTGAAATACGCCGTAAAACATGGACTAGCACCTGAGAGGCCAGGAGCAGCGGGAGCTGAATTAAGAAATAAATGCTCAATAGCCAGCTAACACTGATGCTTCCTGTCTTCCTGCAGACGTGGGGTTACTAACGGTCGACCAAGCCCAAAGAAATACAAAATGCCCCACTTGCTCAAGACCAACAAAACATACGAGTGGAGGCCACGCCACATGGAGTGATTCCTGGTGGTGGGGGGGAGTGGGCGGGTCAGGGTTGGGGGCGTGCAGAGCAGCCTGTGTGTGTGTGTGTGTGTGTGTGTCTGGAAATCTGTGTGTGTGTGCACATGGGCACATGTAGGAGTGTTGGGACAGCACAGGCAGTCCTATGATGGGGACCTGGACGCGTTTCGACAGTGGTGGTGGGGGGCCTGGACGCGTCTTAACAACTGTTGGGGGGGCCTGGATGAGTCTCAACAACTGTGGTGGGGGGCCTGGATGCATCTTGACAACTGCTGGGGGGGCCTGGACGCGTCTCGACAACTGTTGGGGGGGCCTGGACGCGTCTCGACAACTGTGGTGGGGGGCCTGAACGCGTCTTGACGACTGTTGGGGGGACCTGGACGCGTCTCGACAACTGTGGTGGGGGCCCTAAATGTGTCTCGACAACTGCTGGGGGGCTCTCAGAGTGCAGCGGCAGAGCTCACACCTAGCCATCACAGCTGACAGCTCAGCCCAGCCGACAGCCTGGAGGGCCCAGGAGCCTCGGTGCCTGAGGCCACGCTCTCCGGGAGAAGCCGGCCTTTACCTTCAGCTTGGAGATCATGCTCGCCTCGGCGTCGTCGCTCGCACTGTTCTGGTGCACGAGCCTCTTGGCCAGCATCTTCGCGTAGAACTTCTGAAACACGTCCTTGTCCTCAATGTACTTGAAGACCACCATCTGGAAAGCCGCCAGAGGGTACACACACGCCTTACGACCAGAACCAGCCACAGGTCGAGAAGCAACTCGTGGGTCTTCTTCTGTCCCACCCCGTATGCTGACATTTAGAATGACAGAAAATACTGCCCCCATAATCTTTAATACTGGCATCAACTCCTTAAATCACATTAAGTTGGTCTAGACTTATTACTAATGAGAAAGGTACAAATGCTAAAATTACTGACTCAGTACAGGAAGTAAAATCGGATTTAGAATAAAATAAGTGATTCTACTACTTTCCAGATGCCACATATACATAACCTTAAAGCCACCTGTCAGAGAAAAAGTTCCTGAAAACCAACGTAACTAGCCAGCACCTTACCACTTGGTTGAGCGTGTCTTCGAGTTCTGCTTCTTCTGGGTTCTTGGAACTGAAAATTTTTAAAAGGCACGGTGTTTTATTAATAAAACAAACCAGCAAATGTTTACTAAATAAGCACCTCTTTGCCAAACTACCATATCAGATGCGGTTCAAACAGTGAGTTCTTTTTCACATCAGCATGTGGATGAAGGAAGGTTAGCTTTTCTAACCTGTGGCAATTTGGCAATCTTATATTCTATTTCATAAACTATTCTTCCAAATAATCATTTAGAATATCCACAATAAAAATTAAGTTTCCCAAAACATTCTGAATCAAGTTTTCCTAAGATAACCCATTTAAATGTAAGTAAATTTGCTTCACTTTTCTAATTGCTTTCCTCAATATGCTTTAACTTAACTCTGAAAAAATAAAAGGCCGTCCAATGGCCTAATAGTTAAAGGTAGTGAGAGGGTTGTTTAAACTGCCTCCCCAGTGCTCCGTTCCACTTGTCATTATGTCTACAAAACAAATGGCTGTCCTTTAACAACTGATTTGTTCACGCTGGTCTATGAGCAAATATTAAATTGAAAAGTGATTTCAGGACAAAAATTTAAAGGTTTTACTCCAAGAGTCCTCGGTAAACAAGATCCCTATAAATTCATCTGAAATGACCCAACCACATGAGACAAGTGCTCGGGCCTGGTGCACTGGGAAGACCCAGAGGGATCGGGTGGAGAGGGAGGTGGGAGGGGGGACCGGGATGGAGAATACATGTAAATCCATGGCTAATTCATTTCAATGTATGACAAAAACCACTGCAATGATGTAAAGTAATTAATTAAATAAATAAATAAATCTTTCTACCTATCTAAAAAAATAAAAAAAATAAAAAATGAAATGACCCAACCAGCAAACAGGCTCTGAAGAGGTGCTCCTGCTTCGGAGCGGTTGGCTGGGAAGCGCCTGCTGCTCCCAGAGAGGCGGGGGCCGTGTCCCTCTCCTCAAAGGTTCCCTTGGTGCCCGCTCGCGTCTAGTCACTAACGCACGCTCATTAGAGCGGCACTTTGGAGCTCTCCGCCGCTCTGCGTCAGCGGCCTTAACGAAAGAACAGTCTATCAACAGACTAGATGAGACCGTTTCTGAAAAGACAATGGCTAAAAAAGCAGCTGTGTGTTCTGCCAAACAAACTCAAGCCCTGCCAGAGTGCCTGCGTATTTAAAATACAGAAGTTTTTCATTTGACAGAGCCCCACATTTTAGCCTTTTAGCCAGGAGTGTCACACTCGCACCATCTACAATCACAGACATTAGAAACATAAGAAAAAATGTGAACTGGGCACGTAACACGTAACATGAAGCAACTTTCAAGAAGACAAAGAAGGTGTACTCGGCTTATAGTATTTCTCTCAAAAGGTACAAAAAAATTACAACGTAACACACGTAATAGAAATTTTAATTCCTCATCTAGAGGCTGAGATTTTAAGTAGGGTTACTAAGAGAACGCACAAAGGCACTAGTACCTCTTCTTCAACAGGGAGTCACAGTATCGAGCCAGCAACTCGGGGGATTTACTAGACGACTGAGCCATTTTGGTAACTGCGTTGTTGTTTATGAAGCGACCGCAAGCCTGCAGATCACAGAAACACAGTCAGAGACCAGTGTGCCATCCGCTCAAGTCCCCAGTGGAGCCACAGGTCAGCACACCTACCTTGTCCAGCGCGGCCACAAAGCCAGCATCATTGTTGAATGCCGACATCACCAGGGCATTATATTTTTTATGAACATCCAACACTGTCTGTACATACATTTTGGGGTCCTTGGGTAGAGGGAAAAGCAGACACGAGTTAGTTCCTGGGGACTAGACTGCATACTCACATGCTACTGGAAAATATTCCAAAAGATCTGCATCCTTCTTCAAAGATGCTAACAAATAAGATCAAGAAATAGTTCACATCCCATCATCAAAACACATAGGACATGATTATAGATGTAAGAAAAGAAAATATATTCTCTGCACTCGAAATGAAATACTAATTCCAAGCTACATGAAAAAGTGAGTTTTCAAATTATTTGAAAATTCAAAGGAACCACACAAACTTTCAAAGTGACAGCTTTGTCTACTTTTGCTGTTGAAAATTTCATATTCTTGACTTTGTCTTGGCTGGGGAAACCCGTCAATAAGTTACTTAGACCTAGCTGAGCAGGCAATGCAAGAATGAGGTAGGTTTGAGGTCTCAGGACACATGGGCAAGGGCAGGGGCGGGTCGCATGTAGCAGTGAGCGTCTGACTACTATACCCGTGAAATCTGAAGACGGATGAGGACAAGCAAAGAGAACTAGGGTGGAAAAGGCCAGGCCCGGAGACCGTCAGCGCACCGGGTGATTGGCGGGGTGGCCACCGGTAGTCTCTGGACAGAACAGAAAGGAGATGTGAGCACCAGCCTCAGGGGAGGCTTTGGGAGCGCTGCAGAAGGCAGGCAGGAAGGACGGGCCGGAGGAGAGAGTCCGGGGTCATATGAAGACCAGAGTGGCCGACCCCGAGGGCTGGTCACGTGTCAGAGAGCAGACTGAACTCGCAGGCCTGACCCGTCACACTGCAGGGTCGGGGCTGTCGGCCTCCCCTCTTAGAGGCTAGGAAACAAAGTCACGGGCGGGCACCTGGCCAGCCTGATGCGGGCAGCCTGCTCCTGAGAGGCTCAGAGAGCAAAGGGCCCAGGGGGAGGCCGGGCGGGCGGCAGGCGGTGCTGCTGGACGCGGGCTCAGATCGAGCGCGGGGCTCCGTGGCCAGCACGTCACTAACGGGATGCGCCAGTGGTTTGCCAGCACTCCCCAATTCCTGACGGGCATTCTCCTCCAGTTCAGGAACAGGAATGAGAAACCAGAGCTCCCCCAATTCCAATTATTCTGCGTTTCTGTGACACCTGACTTGATTTTGGGTCACCATTAAATCATTCTTCTGTGATAGGGTTATACCAGGAGGTTCAGAGGTTTTCTGTTTTTAAAGATATAATAAACATGCCAGGTCTATTATTATTATGAACAAAAGTACAGTGACAAGATTTTCATTTCAGTGACATGTAAAGTGGCCTCTACCGAGCAGATATTTGATAAAATGTTAAAAGGGAACCTAACACAAAAAACTGCCAAATAAAAATCGCTTTAAAATATTGAAAGCGGATGTCACATATATTTAATGTCTAAAAATTTTTCTATCTTAAAACTCAGAACACACACACACACACACACACACACACACACACACACACACACACAGCATTAACTGTCTCATTGTACAACCCTGCTCTTAGTTTTAGGAGAACGATTCCAGGTGTAGAACTTTCTTGCATTCTGTATTAATGGTCTGATTCCCAAGACTGTATCCAAAAGTACCTGTCAGTCGGCACATGTCTTACTTCAGATAAACTCATTTCTTTTAACAATGAAAATACTCAATTTTGGTTTTGCCATTGAAATTGATACTGCTTTTGCCAATTCAGATTTTAGATTTTTTTCTGACTTCATGTCAAATTATTTCTCATCATTTATACTGTTTTTCTCTTGCCATTGGTTTTTTTAAAGTATTTACAAAGATCTTTAACCTCCAACGAGTACCCAAAAACTGGAAAATGCCAGCAAACACTATTACACAGTAAGGTTAGCAGCATTACAAAGAATCACATGTCAAAACTGCCAATTTAAGGACTTAATTTGCTTCCAAACCTTGCCGTTTCTTGGAATGTCACTTACAGGATTGATATAAAGTGTATTATGAATATAAACAGATTAATATTTACTTTGTTTGCAAGATTGATTGCTTTTTAGGCGCAGAGGAGGACACACACACATTTATAACTGGGCACTGCCCAGGAGGAAGGCTGACCCACTGGACCGCCCCTCTGCCTCAGCCTGGTTCCCAGAGACGGCCTGAAGCCCAGAGTTCCCGCCTCAGCACCCCCGCCCTTGCTCTGCACCCTCTTCGATGGAGTCCTCTGAACCGCAGAGCCTCTATGTCGACCACTATGTTTGCGGGAGAACTACATGTCTTCTTCATTTCTTCCGATTTTTCTCAGATCCAGGATTTGGAAAAAATATAAAAGTCCCAAGAAATGCCAGATATGAATTCTCCATGGAAAGACAGATCTCTAAAGGAACAGAAATCTTCAGACTCCAATTACAGATCCTTTTGGCTAACAGGAGAAGACCCAGCCAGGGTCTTCAGGCTGGTGAGGAGCGAGGGTGTGAATGAAGTGAAGTCGCTCAGTCGTGTCCAACTCTTTGCGACCCCGTGGATTGTAGCCTACGAGGCTCCTCCGTCCATGGGATTCTCCAGGCAAGAATACTGGAGTGGGTTGCCATTTCCTTCTCCAGGGGATCTTCCTGACCCAGGGATCCAACCCAGGTCTCCCACATTGGAGGCAGACGCCTTAACCTCTGAGCCACCCTAAGGGAAGACTGTGCTAAGACACTGAGCCCTGGAGACTTGAATCAGCTTCTAAGATCCAGAGAGAAGCCAGCTCGGAGCCTGCCAAGGGCAGATGGAGACAGGGACACATGGAAGTAGCACAGAGGAGGGAGTTTAAGGAAGGAAGGAGCCATCGGCAGTGTCAGATGGAGGAGAAGACGTTCACAAGCTGAGTGATTTAGCAACCAGCAGGTACATGGTGATGTGCAGGAGCTGTTTCCGAGGGTCCCGGATGGCAGGGTCACAAAAGCAAGAGAGGTGAGGGCTGAGGAAACGTCGGCTGGATGAAATGCATGCTTTTTTAAGAACATAAAGCTGTGAATTTTGGATGTTAAAAAAAAAAGGAACACTTAGCAATCTGCGTGATTACTCTTACTACACAAGAGTTCTCTGCATACAAGAAACACGACACCGCTCAGGCTGGTCCTGGGGGGACCTCATCCAACTCCTACGTGATCGGCATCTTTCTGCCGTGGCTGGCACATTCCTCTCCAGACCAGATGTGCCCACTCAGCTCACACAACCTGCCGTGGATGCAGGGGGATTCCTGAACTCTGCACATCAGAGCCGGCCTGACCGCCCCCTTGGTCCTGCCGCTCTCTGCACTGCTATTTACATTCCTTTTCTGTCAACGTTTTATTGTAGAAAAGATTCAGATATACTCAAAATCACAAAGAACCATAAAACTTGCCCCCTGTATTCACTGTCCCCCTTCAACCATCATCTGACACGAACCCTGCCCATCACAGAGTCTAACTGCCTCACTCCTCCTCTGCGTCCCTATCAGCAGCCAAGTCACTTCTACCTGAACCACTCTCGATAAGCCTAACTGGCATACTAACACCTCTTCCTTTTAATCCATTTTTCACATGGTAGCAATTTCACTTAAAAAAAAAATAAAGGAGAAAAGAAAGAAAATATTGTCAGTTTCAGGCTTATTGCACCACTTAACCTGGTTTCCTCTTGTCCTTGGAATTAAGGCGTATCTCTGACCTAGCCTTCGGGGTCTCCCTGGGCTGGCCAGCCCGGGGCACCCTCTCAGGTTCACCTGAACCCCATCCCCTCTTCTGTCCCAGCAGACCTCTTGGTCTGTGTAGGAGCTCTGTGTGGGATCCCAGCTGCCAATCATGGATTCGTCTTTTCTCAGGGAACTTCCCTGAGCCCTGGACAGCAGGCCTCCCCCACCACACGATGGTCAGCATCCTGTGGGGTGCTGCGCAGGCTGCCCCCCTTGCCAGGCATGAGCTCAAACACTGAGAGGAGTTCACGTTCTCATCGGCCTGGGCCGGGAACCAGGCGCGGCCACTTCAGGGTGGGCGGATGCACAGCAAGGCTAAGCCAGAATAGAGCTCGGTGTGCGGGATAAAGTCCGATTTGGGTAAGAGGAGGCTCCCTGATGGGTCTGCCTGTGGAAGCAAGGACTGAGGTTCCCCCCTACAGGTGGAGGAGAGAAGGGAGCTTCCTGGTTACACGAAGGACACAGTGAGTCTCCTCAGAACCTGGTGATCACAGACTAAAAATGGACATTTATTTGTGTATTTTTTTCCTTCATAAAAAAAGGTTGTTCTCTTCATCTCATGGCAAGACAGAGTGGGCAAACTTAACTGCATGTTTCCTGGACCAATCTGCATTGTCACCATGCTGTCAGTTCTCTGTGATTAAAATGGTCAGTTGGATTTACTGTACAAAACTGCTTCCTTTCATCCTAAAACAGCTCCTTGGGCCCCTCTCTCTTTTCCCACATCAACTGCATCAGAACTAGTACGTGTGTTTTTTCTTTCTGTTTAAGTTTTATGATGGAAAATTTTCAACATATTCAAAATGATAAACAGTAAAATCAGACACCATAATCCATCGGCCAGCTTCAGCAGTGCTGGTCAAGGACCTCCTCCCAGCTGCTCTGTACTCTGAGAAGGCCTGACTGAGGCTGAGTGCTCCATCCCCCTGGACTAGATGAAGCCACACCCCGCTTCACACGCAAGGCTCCTGAGCAGGTGTGGCTCTGCATGTATCATTCTCTTCTCTCACCATCCACAGGAACGTTGAGTCAGGACTAAGTTATTATATTTGGGAATTTTACTCCAAAGAAAGGGAATCTTGGATATATCACTTAACCTTACATCTGCCAGAAGCACCCAGCACCGTGTTACTCTGTTTATTCTGGGGTAAATTCATACACAATTCAGCTCTTATAATTACACCTAAGCCAACTTCTCAACCCAAACCACAGAACTTTTTTTTACAAGTCTGATACGGCCTCAGACTCACCCCGTAGTCTTATACTGAAAAACATGCTTGTCAGAGCTCCCTGATTTTATGTCTGTTTTTAAAATTCTCCATTTTAAGTACTCCTCTTACAAGCACTATCACTCCCGATCCTGGAGTCAGCAGCCCCGGGCTGCTCCTGAAAATACCTTTCCATCTCGGGAGAACATTTTTTTTTCCCCAAACCTGCAAATAAACATTGACAACTTTGTGCCCCAGTCTAGGTCTGCAGCCCAACCTCCCACTGTTAGACCGACAGCCCTGCTGGACATCAAAGTATCTACAAGCCCACTATTGCTGGGTTATATTTCAGGTCCGGTTTTAGAGTGAAGTCACTCAGTCAAGATACGGTTTCAAAGAGGACTTTGTGCTTATCTGTTGCCACTTCTGCCCTGCAGACAGTACTGAAACATTCTCTATACCTGACTTATGAAACGTTCTTTGTGGAAAACAATAGCACCCAGATTGCTGCAGAACAGAGCGCTAATTAAAAACTCAACATGAAACCAACTGCACCGTCAAGTATTCATCATCAAGGACTTACAAGTCTGCATTGACTCTTTTCCTGAACTTCATTCTGCTATAAAATCTTGGTGTCAGGGGAAATTACAAAGCCATCCAGTGGCCTGATACAGCTTTATTTTGTATTTACGTTGTATGTGGATGACTTTCCACATAGCTGGTGCTCACTTTAGATGGGCCATTAGGAAAGGTATTACCAGTTCTGAATGCCGATAAGTCATTCCTCAGAGCTGCGGGCTTGTTCCTTATGACAGTACTGCCAACTTCTTTTCCAGAGAGCTTTCTGTACTGATGGAAAACACTGGAGGCAAACTCGTGACCCACCTCTATTGAGAGACCAGCCTTCACCACCTTACTGCACGCACTCTGAGCGCCATTCACTACTCTGCACTCAGCTTCACCTGTGTTTCCAACCCTTATTTTGCTGCTGTTTCATTTATCCCACTGCCTTTTACATACTGGGTAAGCCCCTTGAACCCTGCTGGAATATCACGAAGGCCCAAGTGTACTGAGACCCTCTTCTGTGCAAGGCACGGCGCTGGGCAGAGGGCACGACGGTAGATAAAGCCACCTCTGCAGGAGACATTTACACAGACATCTAAAATGTAAGGCGTGTGAACGCCATGTAGAGTCCAACATGATGCTATTTCCAAGGGGTGGTCGAGAAAGGCTTTGGGGAAGGAATGGCATTTGAGGGTATTGGAAGATGAAGGTGTTTAATACATGGGGCAAAAAAGAAGGCACACATCTAGGCAGAGAGAAGAACCAGGTAGGTCTTAGCACGTCACGTGTATGGTGGTGTGAAGACCCACGGCTGGTTCAGACTCAGTAGGAGATGACTCCATCTCAGGGGACGAATGCTGCCAGGGGCAAAGGGGGAGGGCAGGGGCCCCGAGCTCACAGCCCCCCTGCTGAGCTAAGGGTGGAGGAGGGCACGGAGTCTGAGAAGACAAGCTGAGACCTGAGGAGAGCACAGAGGCCAGGCACCTCACACAGGGACCCCTGGGCTCAGAGCCGGGCCACAGATCCTTGCGGAATAAATGAAAATCATTTGAATTTTCTCTGCAGCATACCTTGGCCCTTTGAGTTACAGCAACAGCCACCATCATGCAGCTGGCTGCTGCGGTAGATAAAACCAAGAACCCAGCCGGCCACGCCATGGACTTCGATCTTTGTAAACGAACCTGAAGGTGTGGGCTCTGCTACCAGACTGCTCCCCTCAAGTCTCCTGTATCTGACCATTCTCCTACAAACCGTCACCACTGCCAGCAACTGAGCACGTGTCGGGCCCTCTACCTAAGCGTGACGTGGAATGTGCTGGAATGTGCTGACTGACCCGGCCGCCCACTCCCTCCTTTCTGTCCAGAGGTCAGACGTGGGGTGCCTCGCCTGTGAGACAAACCTGCCTTTTAAAACAATGATCTGATCCGCTGTCCAGCTCTAAAGCAGTTTGAGCCCGTCCCTGAAGACTCCTTGGCGCACACGGTTTTGAAGCCTTCCAGGAGCCGCCACGCAGCATGCTGACTGCGCGGGCGGCCTGGCGGGCACGCCTGCCCTCGTCACCAGCCTCTGAGGGCCGACGGCTCTCGTCCTCCGCTGGAAGCTCCCGTGACCGCGGTGGGCCGGACCACACCGAGCTGCCTCGGCCTGAAGCCCTCATCCCCCGAGAGGAGCCCTGATCCCCAGCCTCGTCCTCGAGTGTTCCCCGGCCTGGGGGCGCGGCAGGTACAAGACGCAGCGCGTCTAAAAGCGGCACATGTGCTCAGGCCCTCAGCCACACTTCATGGGGGGAGGACCGCCATTTCCTCTTTGGGTGAAGTGAGGGGGACCCCACGAGGGGAATTCCCTGGGCACCAGTTACCCAGGAACACAAGGGATTCTCAAATCTATTTAACGATGAAAAATATGCCTTCAGAAAATTCTTAAGGACATTCTGATGTTTCTAACACATAAATATTATTTGACTCACATTACAAACTTAAAACCTGTAAAAATTTCAGCCTACATCAGATTTATTAGCAGTAAAACATGCTTTCCAGCCAAATGGATGGCTACCCTGCCCTTACAGCTAAACCGGGTTTTGAATTAATAACTATGAAAAGCTTACGTTACTGAAAAGATAACTTCATCAAGGTGGCCCCTTTTGAGTCTCATGTATGCGCACACATGCGCGTGGTGTGTGTACCTGTGTCTGTGTGTCAGGCTCTTCAACAAGAAATATTTAGAGTTTGGACATAAGAAAAATCATTATATAATTTTTACATAATTAAAAACAGTTAAACAGGACTGTATACCTGGTAAAAACGGCAATCCTCACTGCTAAGCACTGCGGGCTTTCATGTAAGAAGCCCTTTGTAAGCATTAAATATTCTTTATTCACAAAACCTCTAGAAGGTGGTCACCATCATTAGTCTTTCTTCCTAACTGCCACAGACAGGACAAGCGAGTGAGCAGTGCGGTCAGCGGTTAGTGAACAGCCAAGCTGGATCTGAGCCCAGACGGACTGTCCCCAGGGTCTGTGTGCAGGGGCCCCACAGAACTGCAAATCTCACTGCTGGGACCTCACCCTGAAACCTGGAGACCTCTTCCACAGTACTCTCCACCTAGCCTGTCCCCTGCCATGTAAAAGTCTAAGGTGTGTTCACATTCTTCCCTCTGATAATCCACAGATGTGGCAACAAGTGATGCAGCAAGCCCCATAATGAAAGTGGAAAAGGGAGCCCCCAAAGATTAACAGAAAAATAAAGACTCGAAATACTTTACACCAAACACAGTAATATCAGGGACAAAAAGTTTTCTGACTGAGGCAGAAGAACCAACTGTGCTCCAGAAGCTTTTCTTCTCCATTAGCTGTCCGAAACACTACTGAAATTAAAGCTCACAACAGGGACAAACCTGAAGGCAACTTGCCTGTCTCTCAGAAACACATGATCTTCCTATGTAAAATCAACAACTGAATTATAGAAAACCCAGCAGAAATTCTCTGGGACCTCCTGGAGTGGGGGTGGCAGTGGGGATGGAGGTTGTATGAGAAATGCCATACATTTCAGGGCCTTTCCAGAGCAAACAGCCCTGAGGTCTCCAAATGGAGGGCGGCACTCAAACCACAGTTCCCGACGGGGCAGCCTGTGGCCCTGGAGCAGAGCCGGGCTTCTGGGAGGCTTCAGCCTCTTCTTTCCACGGACTCATCCGCTCTCTTCTAGTGCAACGAATGTTAATTTTGAGAAACAATGAAAGGAAAAAAAAGTCAAGAAATAACATCCTTAATGCCTAAGAAGTGCCATAGGAGAATTAATGCAGATATTTACTAAACAAAGACACTTGTGAAACTCCTACTTTAAAGAGCCAGTAGATGGTTCTCTATGAGAGTCCAGTGAAAATCTTACCCACCAGACCTGTAGGTGGAGGCAGGACACCCGCCTGCAGTCCACGCATGGGAATGGTTAGGTCCAACCGGTGTTCAGTTGAACAGTACTTACATTTAATGCAGCTTCTCCACACTTTTCAATTGCTGCAAGACCCTGATTATGAATGTGTGTCTCCAGGAGTTTTTTCAATTCTCCCAGGCCATCTTGGATTCTAGATACAAGATTATACATGCGACCCAAATCTGAAAGAAGAAGGAGCCACGTTTACGCATCAAAACAAACTTTGCAAATCCATTCCACTAAATATATATTTATAGAGATGAAAGGTACAGTGAAATAAAACCGCCATGTTTTTAGACGTAATAATCAATTGCACTTAATTGTACTCAAATACTTTATATTTAGCATATGTACATTTTGCCAAAAGTAACAATGAAGTCATGTGATTCTGAAAGCACATTTCCCCCTTGCCGGGAGAAACTACTGATACAACAGAGAAAAAAGCTGGACAGGAACTACAGGTGATGATTCAAGATTGAGAAACTGATCATGCCTAATACATAATAGGCATTCAAACATTATTTATAAGAATGAATACATTTAAGGAGTATTTATGAATATCCTTCTCAACTATACAAACAATTCAGTCACAAAAGGGCCCCCACATTTGTCACTTAATATATGCATGGCACATGGCTGATTTATGAGCACCAAAGAAGAAAAGTCCTGCATCTGAACATGAATCTTCTACTGAGCTCCTCACACGTCCCAGGAAAACGAGGGAGGGGTATGGAAAATACTTCTGCAGAACAGCAGCCTTCTCATCTCTGAGAATTTCCAGCATAAAAGTCACATGCTCACATGCACAAAACAGTGGTAGCATCACTGAATGCTAAAGTGTATGGAATAAGTCAGATTTCAAATCAAATTGAAAAGATGCTCTTCCTTCAAAGTCATACCCAAAACACACTATAGAAATCTGAGATCAACACACCACAAGGCACACACACACACAGCTTTCTTAAAGAATGGCTGGTGCTGGTAATGCTAACTCTGAGTCCAGACCTTCACACGATTCCGCAATCACATATCTTGATAAACCTCGGCGGCTCACCTTCATTCTTGTCGGCGTCCAGCAGGTTCTGGAACTCCGTGTGGAAGATCTCCAGGTGCTTCTCGATGAGCACCTGCTCGCACTTCCTGGCGAGCTCGTCCTGCGTGCTCTCGTGGAGGTACACCTGAACCCTGCGCTGCTCCTCCAGCAGACGGGCCTCCGCCTGCGGGAGCGAACTCGGGTCAGCCGTCCGCACGCGCGTCTTTTTAGAACAAGAACAGTGACAGATCCAACTCACAGTCCTGCCCTACCTGACACGAGGGAGAAAACAAGAGAAGGGAAGGGCCCCTTGGTTTGGGGTGGGGTGGGGTGGGAGGGAATGCTAACCGCAATTGACTGGCCCCTGGCGTGTGGCTTCCTCTGTAACCTACATGTTTGTTTCCAAGTCCTCTTCAAACGGCTTCTACGAGGGTATCATGATTAACCATCCACACGGCTTTACATCAATTTTCTTCCCACAGACATGTGCAGTTTCACCCTTTTAGGGGGTAATACCCTTATCGACACTGTGCAATTTAAAACTTACGGACAGCTTATTTCTGGAACCTCTCGTTCAATACTGCCAGAGAGAGGCTGATTGCGGGTGACTGAAACTGTGAACAAGAGGGACCCAGGCCAACCTCCTCCTTTTGCTTCGGTGCTGGTTTTGTTTTTCAAACAGCAACTGGAGGTCTGTGGTGACTCTGAGCTGTGCAAGGCTATCAGCACCATTTTTCCAAGAGCATCTGCTCACTCTGTGTATCTGTGCCACATTTTGGTTATTCTCAAAATATTTAAACTTTTTTCACTATTATTATTTATTAAGCTGACCTTTGGTCAGTGATCTTTGATGTTGCTATTATAATTGTTTTGGCATCATTTAGCAATATAGTATTTTCAAAATAAGGAATGTACATTGGTTTTTTTCAGACATAATGCTATTCTCCACATTTCACAGACTACAGTAAAGTGTCATAACTGGGGAAACCAAAAACCCCAAAATCCTGGGTATGAAGTCATTAGGTTTTAGGGAGGGACAGTGATTTACATTCTTTGTTGATTTGACGGTAAATAAGTTCATGATCACCATTGTACTTGAGAGATAACCACATCAGAGTACAAATTCAATAGGACTAAATAAAATTAAGCAAACAAAGGCTGTCTCTATTAATTCTATTAGGATCAGTATACAGGAAAAACAAAATGAAAAAATGGATCAAAAAGCAGTAAGCAAATTCATAACATATATTTTGTCTTTAAATCTTTAAAAAAAACGACATTAGAAACCTAGAAAGGTCAAATATTCTTTCGAGGCTCACCACAGACCCACTCACATGAGACAGCGAGAGACACCGAGGCTCACGCGGCTGAGGCTCGCTCACTGACACCCTCAGGAGGAGGGGAGCCAGAGACGCTCAACTGCTCCCTCTCAAGGGCAACTCAAGAAAGAGGGACTCAGACCCACTCACATGAGACAGCGAGAGACACCGAGGCTCACGCGGCTGAGGCTCGCTCACTGGTTGACACCCTCAGGAGGAGGGGAGCCAGAGACGCTCAACTGCTCCCTCTCAAGGGCAACTCAAGAAAGAGGGACTCAGACCCACTCACATGAGACAGCGAGAGACACCGAGGCTCACGCGGCTGAGGCTCGCTCACTGGTTGACACCCTCAGGAGGAGGGACGCCAGAGACGCTCAACTGCTCCCTCTCAAGGGCAGCTCAAGAAAGAGGGACTCAGACCCACTGACATGAGACAGCGAGATACACCGAGGCTCACGCAGCTGAGGCTCGCTCACTGGTTGACACCCTCAGGAGGAGGGACGCCAGAGACGCTCAACTGCTCCCTCTCAAGGGCAACTCAAGAAAGAGGGACTCAGACCCACTCACATGAGACAGCGAGATACACCGAGGCTCACGCGGCTGAGGCTCGCTCACTGACACCCTCAGGAGGAGGGGAGCCAGAGTCGCTCAACTGCTCCCTCTCAAGGGCAGCTCAACAAAGAGGGACTCAGACCCCAGAGATCTGCACATCTGGCCCAAACTGGCTGCCAAAAGGAAAGCAGTTCTTGAAAGTTGATGTTTTACCTCAATGCTATTCATGAGTTTCCTATTTTACTTCCTAATGAGTGTTCAGATATAAACATACTTTCTCAAGTTATTGAATAAAATGTTCCATATTTTATCCTGTATATTATCAGTGCATACTCATGGCCAAACATCAAAAATACATAATAATGATGATGATGATGATAAAGTATCACCATTTTCCAGATGAGAAGGAAACTGAGGAACAGACTTTAACTCCTTAGTAAATGGTGGTTAAAGTCACCCCTGGTAAATGATGGACTGGGGATTTTCAATTAGACATATATCCCAGTTTGAGATGCAAATCTACATCTAGCGGTAATAGCAGCACTGTTCAGACGGTTAAATTCCAATTTTAAGCCCACAGAATCTCTACATGATAGATTTTTTAAATGGAATGGCTGCCATGTTTGCTAAGACCCAACCAGATTTGGGCCAAACCTTTAACCCAAGAAATCCCATCTAAGATGGCCAGGATGCAGGTAGCACACTCTCCCTTGAAGGCAGGGCTCAGACTGGGTTGAAACCATAGGTCTACAGAGCGGATTTCCATACACCAAAGCACTACCACCTTCCTCGGTGTGGACAGCAGGTAACTGCAATTCACTAAAAGTCCATGAAATGAAAAGGCCTGAACCACACTTGTGGATTTGTACCCTGATAAAAGGACATACTTTTAAAAAACATATACAGTTTTAAAAGACTCACCATACATAGTACAGTTCAATAAAAGATATGTTTATGAAAACTACACTGTAAAAATCAGTGCTTAGATTTAAAATTAACTGCTCAGGCAGCTGTTCCAACTCTCAATAAGCTGGTTAGCTTCCAGACTGGCACACAAAAGCTAACTTAACTTACACAAAGAACTATCACTTTCCCAAGTGTAATAGTTCTGCAGGGTTCCACTTCTGTTAGGTTTTGAAGGATCAGATATTTGTCTGTCAAGGACTTTCAACTTCAGACTTGTAAGGTCCACTTATAATTACTATCTCTTATGGGAAAATGTATAGCAATGTCATGGACAAATTGAGGAGGACTTTCTCTATGTGGTTAGACAGGGGAGCTCTTGCTCTCCTTGACTTTTGGTGTCAGCACATGGAGAAAGTGACTCTGCTCTCCAAGTGAACAGAGAATAAAGGGAAAAGTGGGTGTCAGACACACAGCCCCAGGCCCCCGGAAGTCTCCTTGCCTGTCTAGGTCAGGGGTTGGCAAACTACTGCCTGGGGGCAAAATTCTGCTGGAAGGAAACTTGCATTGCAGCACGGTTTAGATGTTGCCGAGGCTGCTTTTGCGCCACAATGCAGAGCTGAACAGCTGCAAATGAGAACACACGCACACAAGGTCTAAAGTATTTAGCATCTGGCCCTTCACAGAGTCTGCTGACCCGACTGAGGTCACTCCTCTGAGCTTAAGTCTGGGACACCGGTATTTCCGAGAAGGGAAGTTAGAATAATTCTCGCAGAATTGCACTGTGACATCACTTAATGTAGAAGATTTATGATGCAGAGACCAATCCCCAATCTTCTCATCTAAGATTTCGATCCTGTTCTTTTGGAAGGACTTCTCCTCTAATACACACTGGAAGGTTGTGTTAAATAGATTTTTAGGAGATATCCCAGAAGCAAAAAAGTAAAAAGCTTAAAGTTTGCGGATAAAAATTTGTTCCTTAAATACTATTTTTTCATTGATATAAGACCATGGCTGCCATTATAGGAGCATATACATTCTAGGAGAGAGTGTTTAAGACACGTACGTCATTCAACTGTAACAATTACATCCTCCACACAGTAAGGAGAACACGGGCCACGATTATTAAATCAATTTATACAAGCTCCCTAGTGAACTGGGAGAAACCATCTGCACCTGCTACAAACACTGCTGGTTAACAGTGCCCAAGAAATGACTTTGAAGGAAGCTGCACATAAAAGAATAAAAGGAGAAATTTATTTGAGCAGCGGTAACTTTTAACTTAAGCCTACTCTAAGTATGTTTAAGCTTACCTTTTTCATATATTCAGTAACCGGGTTCTGCTGCAAGAATTCGGTACTCTCTCTGGTATAAAATCTTTCTGTGTCAGCCAGAAACTGAGATTCAAAGGATTCTTTGTACACTGTTAGCGTAGGGCCCTTTGCAAAGGCGTCATCTTCATTCAGTCCCAGCTCCACTGGAAATAAACATGAACTATATTTCAACTGCCTCATTTTGGTTATATTTTAAGGAATATATATTTTATTTGAGGTGTAGCTTTCAGTTTAAGTTATGATGAAAAGGTAAGAATAAAATAGCAGGGCAAAAGCAAACTTATATTCTGGTAGTTAAGTACATTTTGCATAAAAGAAAAAAAATCCAAGATACACAAAGGCAAGTGATTCTGACAGCCAGGCATGCTTCAAAGTTCTGATGAAGTTCAATAAGAGAACATCTTAATATTTCTAAAGCTTAAAAATAATAAGAATGTTTAATTGTAAACTTCCAAAGAAATACAATATTACTTAAGTTTTAAAACACTTATTACTTTATTGGCTTCTCAATGGCAGTTGTTCAAGATGATACAGATTTCTGGGTATTATTCAGCTCAATTAATGACACTCTAAGCATATGTAAGTGCTTAGTTATCAGTCTATACAGGTATATAGATCCAGTAATTCAGTGCGAAACCAGAAAAGAAAATAATTCAAATGTCAAATGTCTAGTCCGTCAAAATTTCCTTAAGGCATGAAGATAAACAATCTTTATAATGGGTAAAATCAAACATAATAATACTGACATAAACAGAATTATGAGTACGTTGATAAATGCTAACAACATTCTTGATAATACTATTTGAAAACAAATCTGTTGCATCACTGTTATCACTGCCACTGATACCAAAACTTTCACTAAATTAAAGGGAAAACTGCTTACCATAAGACTGTACAACTCCACTTATCAGTCTTGTATTGATGGTTTCACCATTTCTTTCTTTTTCAATAAGTTTTAAAACAGCATTTGTTACCTTTAGAACAGATGTAGGAAAGAGACATGTAGATTACAGACTATGGTATGCATCAGTATTATGTTACTACATAGCTCTTAAACATTTAAATCTGTCAAAGGCAAGATGAGAGGGACTCTGAGGACATTCTAAAGGAGCGAGGAAGACGATGGCTAAGGTATGACACCTGGAAGGGGTTTTAAAAGGAAAACACAACACACACAAGTAGGTACCTGTTTATTCAGTGGCCTGAAAAGACAGTCTCTCCAAGTCACCAATGCAAGCTGAACGAAAAGAAAAAGCAACAGTATTAAATGGCTATACTTTTATGATGTTTTTTCAAAGCTGTAGGAGACAGCCCAAATCCCAGATTATATGTATCAATATTTTTAATTATAAACTTGGTAAAAAATCATGATGAAATCAGAGAGCCATTCTCTTGAGTTAAAAACTTCTCTTTTTTCTTGCGTGCTCAATTGTGTCCAACTCTTTGTGACCCCATGGACTGTAGCCTGCCAGGCTCCTCTGTCTAAGAATCTTCCAGGCAAGAATACTGAAATGGGTTGCCACTTCCTACTCCAAAGGATCTTCCCGACCCAGGAGTCAAACCTGAGTCTCTTGTCTCTCCTGCATTGGCAGGCAGATTCTTTACCACTGTGCCACCTGGGAAACCTTTATTATACATAAAGTATTCATTTTACTTATGTGTGTGCATATGATACATTTTTTTAAAAAGTTTTTGGAACTTATAGAGGGTATGTCAGATGATTACTATAAAATGCTCCCCCCCTCCAAGAGGGAAATATTAATTCATATATGGTTTTTAAACTGTTGAAGTATTATTCAGTTAAATTCAAACTTAAGGGAATTCAATACTCAATAACTGCTGAGACACTTATATAAATGCTATCAGTCTTATTTTTTCCCAAATTTAACCACAGATAAAACTAGGTTTATACATACAGTTCTGAAAAGATTCTATGTAAATTTCATTTACAAAATGAAAAATTTCTACCAAAAAAGGGCAGCATGAAAGCAGTATTTAAGAGAAAATATCTTTAATAAGATATGAACACTGTATACCCAAGTCTTCCATTAGAATAAAAAGGTGATTTCAGAATTAGGAACTATTCTGTCAAAGAAGTTGCTGGGAAAGGAAGAGTCTTAGTTTTTCAGGAGAAATGCCCCCTGGGGGGCAAGGTTTGGGAAGTAACTCTCGAGGTGCACACCCTCCAACTCCCCAGGCCTCCTCGGTGCAGGAGGGAGGCAGGGAACACGCCGTGTGCGGCCATCAACTTCTAGTGAAGACACTACACCTTCAAAGATAACTTTTTCCAAACATTTTTCTAACTTGAGACAGCATAAGACAGATGCGATTTAACTCTGGATAACTGGTTGCTTTGAAGGAAGAAAGGCAGATTAAGAGAGCAGGACCAAAGGTAAGCCAGAGGAAGTTCAGAGGGACAGAATCAGGGGAAAAGTCTTGCTGCATCACTTCAATATGTGGATAATGAAATTAATTTATGTCCTCTGGTTGACTTGAAAGGAAACCAACAACCTTCTGTAACTGAAGAGAAAGAAAAAATTATTAGGAAAAAGGGAAAACTTTATAATTCATGACAAAGCATCCCCATCTCCTGGAGATTCTGGAAAATGCAACAAGAGATCACTGTGTAAGAACCGTTGCATGTGTCGATTGGTATTTGAACTGTGAATTCAACAGCCTCCTGGAAGAGCATGCAGAGGAAATACTGTTTCCAGACGGGTGTCCACTGGCCTTTGCTAAGAACTGTGGCTGCAGAGTGTACTTCCAAACTAACTACAGCATTTAAGGATGTAGAAACTATGAATTTTGAAAGTTAAAAAAAAAAAGTAGTCAAATTTTGAAAACAGTATTCAAAAAGTTTAAAGACCGTAATGATTTGTAGGAGCCTGCGACATTACTATAGTGCATACATATGGTGCTTTCAGTCAGGGGGAAATCAAAATCATGCTGATTCCCACAGACAATTTTTCAGTCTCAAGAAGTTATTTTTAATGGAAAAGGTAAACTACGTGAGGCTCAAATGAACACTAAACCTAGAAAGCTTTGTTAAAGCTATGTAACAAAATCCTGTTAAACAGCAGTTAACAGTTCGGTACAGAAACTGAGCTATACAAGTGATAAAGACTTGCTATGCATCTGTGGTACATTGTATTTTTATTTTAATCAAACGTGTAAAGCTGCAAAGCACTGCTATTACAGCATCATGCGTGGGTATGGAGACAATCTCATTATGCAATAGAACTGACATTCTAACACCATTCAAAAAAGGTACTGTCTGTGTATCTGAGCCCATTATGAACAGAGAGGCTGTTCTGGTGGTTTAAGTCCTCCCTTAATTGGTTCTCAGACTAGAACAAGCATTAGAACCACCTGGAGAGCCTGCTGCTAACACGCTGGCCAGTCCTACCTCCAGAGCGTCTAGTTAAGCAAGTCTTGCTTAAGGCCCAAATATTTGCCTTTCTAACAAGTTCCCCGGTCACAATGATGCTGAGGGTTTGGGGACCACACTTTGAAAACCAACGGGCCTTGGAAAAAGCTTCCTTGACTGAAGAAACATACTATGAAGGTGTTTTAACAATCCAGACTTTGCCTCTTCAGAATTCATTTTCCTGCAGTCTTTTAAAAACCCATCAATTCTGAACTCTGTGTCATTACTTCCTAAAGTGAGTGGGCAGAATGGAATTTCACATCACAGTTCGCTCCTGGAAGCAGCTTCCCTGACCCCAAAAGGCCACGAGGGCTGACTCTGAAGGCGTGGGCCCGCTGTGCTGCAGGGCTTGTTGTGCTAAGATGGGGCCAGCTCCAGGCTCAGCCCCACGGCCGGCTTTTTAAACCTGTACCTGCAGAAGCGTGCAGGTTGTATTTCAGAACTTCCAATTCCTCATCCTTCTCCTGTCTTGCCACAAAACAGCCAAGGGCTGTTTTTTGATAAATTAAAACAAAGAAAATTAGCTTGCTAGTCTGAAAGCTGTTCACTATCTGCTTAGATCCCTTGCTGGAAAGGAAACATCTCCAAGAAAAACACACGCCTGAAAGGTGTGTGGTCAAATCTTACAGAATAGATTTCATAGATTCCCTTCCGTCCTTCGTCACATTCGCGGCGAACCCAATGTCTGTTGAGGTAGGCACAGATCCCGTTGAGCACTTTGCTTGAAAACCGGTAGTCTTCCCACTGCTGAGTGTAGAACTTCAGCACACTCTCATCCATCAAATCTTCTCCGTCCTGGAAGCAAGGCAACCAAACCTTTAAGATGACTAATTCATCACATGATTAATTTATCAAGACAAGAGTTCACTGGAACAGATCTATTGCACTAAGATATACTGATGCACGTGGTTTTAGATGATAGACAGGTTCTTTAAATTATTCTGTACACAAAACATACTCACTTACTACAAATTCTCACAAGAATGTAGCTCGTGAGGATTAGACTACAGAGAATTTTAACAAAAATTCTTTCATCTCAAACTGGAACTTTTTTCACAGTATTAAATATGCATATACATTTGTAAAAGACTGAACTTGTAGAATATGAGGGTAATTCGTTTATATTCACCAACAGGGATAGGTTAAGGAAATCCCTTATTTTTTTATAATTTCTCTGTTAAAAAGATACCTGATTAACAATTTAGCTCATGGGGCCAGTACTATTCCATTTTCTAATGTATCTTCTTTCTTCATTAAATTTACTTAAAAATTATAAAAATTACTCTTACTGAAATTTCTACAACTTAAACCACAAATCTTTATTCAAAGGAAACTAACTTGAAATTTTTTCTTAGGTATTAATGACATCTACAAATGACATCTTACCCTTTAAAAATGGGGCATTATATCATTAAAATGTGCTGCAGGAGAAGAGAAATCTGAGGAGCTTGGTGGGGGTTGGTGGTGGTAGGCAGCCCCTCCATGAACTTGGGGCCTCGGGCCCTCCAGCTGGCAGAATAAAAAGCTACAGAACAAAGCTCCAGAAACACATGGGTGCACAAATGATCCAACAAGCCACATGGAAACCTGGCCATATCTTGATACAACCAAACTTGTGTTCATTTAGATTTAAATAACAAGGGATGAACCCAACACATAAAGCTAGTTTCTTCTGGATGATAGCAGATGACCTTTTTTAAAAATGCAAAAAAAAAAAAAAAAATCGCTGACGGCAGGCCTATCAACACCTTTCATAACACAACACACTGTTTGTCACTTCGATACTAAAGAATAATGAATCCCAGTGTTCACTTTACAAAGTGTTGCAAATCAGAGCCAGGAGGACACAGTGGCTTCATCAAGACTGCTTGGGAATGTGAAAAAGATACTGTCTTGGTCACGATTGTGCTCACTCAACTCTGCTCTGTTAAATGATGCTAAAGTTTCCAGTTACCTTGCAAAATATATTAAGAAAAACAAATTTGGAGCATGCTGGAGTTTTTTGGACATTATTTGTGTAAATAAAAAATCTCTATACACACGTGTGCAGAAGATGTTGGAAAAATGTGATTACCAGAGGCTGGATAACCTTAGTCATTCATACACTTAATACAGAATATTACAGTGGGTTCAAAATACACATAGGTAACTTGAATTCATAATTATGTGCTTTAAATTAATAGGTTCATCGCTTTCTAACCACCAAACACCAAATGGTCAGTAATTTAAGGAAAGGACTACATTAGGGAAAGGTATCAGAAACTTCTGATCTAACAAGCTAACAGCATATGGCTTAGGAAGGTTTCATTTTCATAATGGGCAAACAACCGGAGAGCAGCACCTCTCAGGCACAGACATGTCGGTGCCAAGAACAATGAAAAATTAACTCACAATCATTATTTCACTACTTTTTATCTTTTTACATTCTATCATAAATGTTCAGTATAAATGTAAAACATCTTACCTTAAGAAGATTTGTCAAGTAATTCTTCAGGAATTCTTTAAGCCGTTTGTACAACTCCAAGCCCACAAACTGAGCTCCCCCCGGCGTCTGCCCCTTTTTCGATTTAGAAGGAGGGACACCAGCCCCTCGAGCTTGGTTTGACTGGTGAACACTCGTGCAGTAGTTATAAACGTGACTTGGAGAAAAGTCAAGGAAATCAACGTGCATCATCAATGTCAACAGTCATTAATACAAATATAGTTGCTTACAAGATACTGCAGTGTCAATGTTCCCATGTATCAACAGAAACCTGTTAGAACCAAAGTAAAGATCCCATTTATACACCAATAAAGCAAAGAGTCAGCCAGCTATGAGGATGGCAGTTTCTGGAGGAAGCCACCAAGAGAATTCTGGACCTTCCCGATCATCTAATGCCATTACCTTGTGGGAAACTGTCCCCAGAGTGGATCAGAAAGTAAGAAAAGTGGCAAATTTTACAGAGAGAAAGTTGCAAGTAAAAAAAAAAAGAAATCATCTACTTCAGGAAAAACAAAAGGCTATGACCACAGTCTATTATGATGCTTAAGCTATGAATATTTCCAGAAGCATACGTTACAAATATAAAAATATCCAAAACCTTTAAAATGATTTATAAGTGGATTTAACCAAACTACATGGCAAATAGATGGGGAAACAATGGAAACAGTGACAGACTTTATTTTGGGGGGGCTCCATAATCACTGCAGATGGTGATTGCAGCCATGAAATTAAAAGACGATTGCTCCTTGGAAGAAAAGCTATGACCAACCTAGACAACATTTAAAAAACAGAGACACTACTTTGCCAACAAAGGTCTGTCTAGTCAGTTATGGTTTCTCCAGTAGTCACGTATGGATGTGAGAGTTGGACTATAAAGAAAGCTGAGTGCCAAAGAATTGATGCTTTTGAACTGTGGTGTTGGAGAAGATTCTTGAGAGTCCCTTGGACTGCAAGGAGATCCAACTAGTCCATCCTAAAGGAGATCAGTCCTGGGTGTTCATTGGAAGGACTGATGCTGAAGCTAATACTAATACTATTAGCCAAAGCTAGTACTTTGGCCACCTGATGTGAAGAACTGACTCACTGGAAAAGACCCTGATGTTGGGAAAGATTGGAGGCGAGAGGATAAGGGGATGACAAAGGATGAGATGATTGGATGGCATTCACCAACTCAGACACAAGTTTGAGTAAGCTCTGGCAGTTGGTGATGGACAGGGAAGCCTGGCATGCTGCAGTCCACGGGGTCGAAAAGAGTCAGATACGACTGTGCGACTGAAATGAAATGAATGACACTCTGAAAATGAAAAATATTTAATAAAAAGCAGAAAACACAGTAGCTCAAGAGATGGAGTCCTCTATCATAGCTGAAATTCAGGGATGCCAAAGGCTGACCAATCACAGAGGAGCAGTCCCATGCACTATGGCGACAAATGGAGACGAGCTGTTTTGTCATAACCTTTACTACTGTTTCAGTTCACCTGCATGTACTTTGTGCATGTTAGCTGCTAAGTTGTGTCCGACTCTTTGCGACCCCAGGCACTGTAGCCTACCAGGCTCCTCTGTGCATGGGACTATCTTGGATAAAATTAAGACACCGATACTTATTCAGACAGAAAAACCATGAAACCAAATATTCTGGTGTGTTTAAGAATTTACTATATAAAGATTATTTCAAGTCAGTGGATAAAGATTATTGAATAAATGGCATTATAGCAAGGGGTGATTTAAAAATTTCATATTCCAAAATATATTACAAATAGATTAAGAATTAAAATATACAAACAGAAGCTATAAAATAAAACAAATACACACAAATATTTTCTAGGGGAGAAGGCCTATTTCTAAGCAAAGTCATAAAACTTCATCTGAAATTCTGACACTATTTTAGTAAGAACTATCTTAAACTTACTATTTTTATTTTTTTTCATTTAAACTTACTATTTTTAATAAACTAAGGTAAATTAAAACAAGGTGAAAAAAATTCATCTCTAAAGAAACGTAAGGATTTCAACTGAAAATCCAAAGGCTAGAAAAGAAACATGTGTTAGTAGTTCAGAGGCCAAAAACCCAAGAAGCGCCTCAATCTCAGCAATAATCAAAGAAAGTGAAGTCAAAGTGCTAGTCGCTAAGCCGTGTCCGACTCTCTGCGACCTCACGGACCAAAACCTGCCAGGCTCCTCTGTCCGTGGGATTCTCCAGGCAAGAACACTGGAGTGGGCTGCACGCCCTCCTCCGGGGAACTGTGTCATAAAACACTAAGTCACTTGATTAGATATTTCAAATAGAGAATCACACGTTGTAACATACAACCAGCTGTCTCCAACTCACGACCCAGCGCGCACAAACCTTACTGTGTGCCCACACTTGTGTCACTCATTCCAACCGAATCCCCATCGACGTTTTGGTTGAATGGAAGCGTGTAACTGACACGCGCTCCTCCCCAGTCCCACGCCTCCTCCTCCCTAAGGGCAAATGTCTACAAACGTTTAGCATCGCTCTGAACAGTTCACACTTCACCCTGTAACAACAGGGCTTCCCTGGTGGCTCCGATGATAAAGAAACGGCCTGCAATGAGGGGCCCTGGGTTCGGGCCCTGGGTCGGGAAGATCCCCTGGAGGTGGGAATGGCAACCCACTCCAGTCTTCTTGCCTGGGGAATCCCAGGGACAGAGGGGCCTGGCAGGTACAGTCCATAGGGTCGCCAAGAGCTGGACAGGACTGAGCGAGTTTCATTTAACTAAACATGTAACGGTACATGCAATTATTTTACATGTTTTCAAATTTTACATTACAAAAAATTGTAACGAATCACACATTTGCTTCTGCCAGTTCTTTCTGACAACATGGTTTCGGCTAGCGGTGCAGTGGTAAAGAATCCACCTACCAAAGGAGGAGGTGCAAGAGAGTCAGGTTTGATCCCTGTGGTCGAGAAGACCCCCTGGAGGAAGAAACGGCAGCCCATTCTAGTATTCTTGCCTGGAGAATCCCACGGACAGAGGAGACTGGCGGGCTACAGTCCATGGGGATGCAAAGAGCGGGACACGACTGAGCACACACACGACCAGCCCATGTGTAATATATACTGTATAGTAAAAAGTAATTTAATCCCTTCTGCTGTTGCTAGACTCCTGATGCTCTTTTGGCAGTTTCCAATTTTTTCCATATTTTACTGTATTTTCTTTTAAATCTGATTTTCACACTGGTTCCTAATCCACCTTGAGTAAAACTGTACAATGTGAGGAAGAAAAGTGAGTGTACATTTCCCTGCAACATTTCACAAGAGATTAAGTATACTGCCCAGTTCAGTCTTCTGTTAAAAAAATGCCTATTTAATGGTCCCTCTTTTACAATATTCTTAATTCTGCCAGAGGCTTGTCCACTCTTTTTAAGGAACCAGTTTAAAATGTATTAATTTTCATCACTGCATTTATATTTCTATTCCTTTAAATTTACTTCTTCCTTTACATTTGCTTTCTATAAATCCTTGTTTGGCTGAGTAGCTTCGTCATTTTTCCTCTTCATTCTTTTTAATATAAGCAGTAGATTTTCTGCTCTTCACCCCTCTGGCTGCATCACCTAAGTCTGATATTTTCCTTAATCAGTTTTATTATTTATTTTTTTTCCATTACTAGTTATCTTGACAGAGTTTAGAATTTAGATTTCAACAGTATTTTTTTTAACCTTAAAAAAAAAACTTAATTTCATGCTAAAATTAATCAGAGAATATTACCTTTTGGGTGGTTTCTTTAAAATATGATGAGACTTATAGGTGAATACATGATGATTTTCCTTACAAATGCCTGAGAAAATGTCCACTCTCTAAGTTGGACACAACGGCTTGTAACAGCAAGCTGGTCAGTTTTGTTTTTCAAATCGTCTATATTGTCAATGACTTGTCTGTTTATTAATTACTAAGAAAATTTTATTGAAATCCCTCTATTCAGTTATGGATGTGCCAATTAAGTCTCATAATTCTCTAAAATATCTGTCATATATTTTGAGGCCCTGTTAATAAGCATACAAAATTGGAATTATATTCCTGGTGACTTGTTCTTTTTTTATCATCCGCATTTATTCTTAACAACAGGGTCTTAAAAATCTATCATATCTGATGTTAATATGGGTTTTCCTATATTTTGCTTAGAATTTCTCTCAAGTACCTGTATTCCACCTTTTTATTATCAACTTTTACATATCTATGTTTTGCTTTATCGGCTGCAAATCACCACAATAAAATTTACCTTTAAAAAAGAAACTTAAAAAAAAAAAAAAAGAAACTGTTTCAGTTTGGTTTTAAGCTTTTACTGTTTTTATACTGATATATGGATTAATTTCTACCATCTTATCTTGCGTTTTCTATTTTCATTATTTTTCTCTATGCTTCTCGTTTTCTCCCCTTCCCCCTTATATTGGATCACTAGTTTCTTTATTCTATGGTAGTTCTTTTATTATGCTGGAGTTATACATCATATCCATATGACAGTAACTTAAAATCTGACATGCATAGTATTTTGCTTTCACCAATTCTGATAAATTTTTGGATTATTTCCTCTTCAAACATTTCTAAGCCACGTTCAATTTTCTCCTGGAGGTTTCACCATGTATGTTGACCATTTTTATTTCAGCTCCATATCTCAATTTATGTCCATTACATCCATCACTTTATCTTTGTTCAAACTTTTCTAATTTTTTTTGATCTACCTATCATATCAGGTTAAGTGATTCTCTTTCAAAAGTGAAATATCTATCTAAATAACTTTATTTTACATTTGCAGAAGTTCCCCACTTCTTTAGAATTATGTCTTATTTCCATGGTGCTTTGACCCTTTATATTCTGGACTCTTTTATCACTAATCGTTTTCAATACACTTAAAAGTGCTCTCTAAAGGCCCTTCTGTTAGTTCTTGAGGCTCTAGTTCTGCTGTTTGTTCTACATGTTGACTTGTTCATGTGGACCAAGACTCTCACTTAAAACTTCTAACTCCCTTTCACATTTTACCTAGCACCCAGTTCTAGGTGTTTGGTTCCAGGGAACTTTTTAGGTTGCGGAGATAGCCTGATCTCTCTTTCTTGGCAATGTACCAATCTCTAGCTATTAGAGTAACAAGGTCTTAAAAGCAGACAAACAAGTGCAGGAACAGGGAGCATCTATTCACTG